TGAGGATCTTGCTAAAATGCAGATTCTCATTCAGTAGATCTGGGGCAGGGCCTGGGAGTTTCTGTTTCCATCAAAATGCCAGGCGATGCTGATGCTGCCCACCCACAGACCACACTTTGAGTGGCAAAGTCTAGGGTCTGTAAGGTCCTTGACTGAGCAGTTTCCTAGGGCTGCTGTAACAAGTTATCACAAACCACGTGGCTTAAGACAACAGAAATTCGTTCTCTCACAGTTCTGGAGGCCCGAGGTCTGGAATCAAGGTGTCAGCAGGGCTGTGCTTTCTCTGAAGGCTCTAGGAGAGAATCTGCTCTGTGTCTCTCTCAGCTTCTGGTGTTGCTGGCAATCCTCGGTGTCTCTTGACTTGTAGATGCATCACTCCCATCTCTGCCTCTGGTATCACATGGTGTTCTCCCCAAGCCTGTCTCTGTGCCTCTTGTCCTCTTCTCATAAGGACACTAATTATATCAGATTAAGGGACCATCCTTCTCCAGCATGATCCCACATTAACTTACATCTTAATTGCATCTACAAGGACACTATTTCCAAATAAGTTCACATTCTCAGGGACCAGGTTTAGGGCCTCAACATATCTTTTTGGAGGACACAATTCAACCCACAACGGTCGCCTTTACTCTCGAACGCTGGCTTCCCTTGCAGCCCTGCTCTGGTGCGCTAACCCGAACTCTTCCTTCTGTGCTGCCCAGAAACGAATGAGTGTGTGGATACCACCGTCTGCCCAGCTCATGCAAGCTGCACCGACACTCCAAAAAGTTACTACTGCACTTGCAAACAAGGCTTCCTGTCCAGCACCAGAGAGACACAGTTCAGGGGCTCAGGTGTGGAATGCAAAGGTGAGTTCACATCCCCTCAAAGGTGGTAGGAAAATCAAATAGAAGCTAGCTGGGTAGTAGATGTGGGTACTTTTTGTTTTTTCCCCAAATATGATTTCCTCCATCCCTCCCTGCCTCTCTCTCTTCCTTCCTTCCTTCCTTTCTTCCTTCCTTCCTTTCTTCCTTCCTTCCTGCCTTCCTTCCTTCCTCCCTCCCTCCTCCCTCCCTCTCTCCCCCCTCCCTCTCTCTCTCTCTCTCTCTTTCTCTCTTTCTTTTCATTCTTCATTTCTCTCTCTCTCTCTCTTTTTCTTTCTTTCTTTCATCATGAGAATTATTCCTGGTCACAAAAGTTTCCAATGGTTAGAGGCTAGCACTAGGATGAAAATGAAAATAAAAATCCTACTATCTGTCAACATCCAGAAATAACCACTGATTTCATTTTTGGGGTGTGCCTTCAGTCACCTCTCCTGTAGATAATAAGAATTTTTAACATTTATTGAGTGCCAGCCTGCGTGAGAAAGGCTTTATGTGCATCGTCACATAAAATTGACTGTAAGCATTGTGATGATCTC